CCCCAAAACCCCAAAACCCCAAAACCCCAAAACCCCTCTCTTCAAAATAATAAATGCGTGAGACAATTAGTTATATTGATAATGAGCTCTAATATTAATATTAAGTACATTTAGTCTTCAAAATATACAGCACATCGAGTCGCAGCCACACATTCTCTGTTTCTCAGGCTTGACTTCTAGGTGCTCAAGTGAAAAAATTTCTTGCTAATTTTTTTGTTTAATGAGCTTCTTTTGATCTCTGCTTTCTCTGTTTGAAGAACGTTAAGATGCCAGAGCCTCTTCTACCTCACCCCTAGTTGTTGACTTTCTTGCAAAGTCAGATTACTTGAAACTGCGTTAGCTCATTAAATCAGGTTCTCGAGACTATTGATGATAATTGGATTACTTTTGGGAAGCTATTTATTGCTGCTAAGGCTAAGGCTTTGCTTGTTATTACTCATAATTTGGACTCTAATTAGATTGATAGGCATTCATGCTTGGATGATGACTCAGTATATTATTGCTAGCTGAGGCACTCATATTGTCAAAAGAGCTCTCAAGCATCATCTAAAGTTGATCTAAAACTAAACCTTGATCGTCATCAAACTGCATGTAAAATAGGACCTCAATTGCCTGGAGGATTATTGATTTCTTTTGATCCACTATCTACCTTAATTACTGAATCTATTCAAATGTTTCCTTAAGATATTGCTGCTTGACTTTTTAGACTCTAGGATACCATTCATCCGTTAATTCAGCTCTGAAAGTCAAACTCAATTTACCCTTTGTCTAAATTAGATTCCTATAGTCAGGATTTAATGAGCTTAAACGGCCTAGAGAATTAGTTGAGAATACATCCTCTCCATCCGACTGCAAAATATCATCCTCCAATTCCTAATATATGATGTTCTTTTAAGTAGTAAATTCCTATGTATAGTTTAAACTGATTAAGAAATACATCTTAGACAAGCAGATTCTAAAGAACTTTATCAATTAGGATCTCAGTTTTGCCAATCTTAGTATAAAATATCTTGTCATCATCGTTCTCATAGTCTGATTTGTCAGTTGAATTCAAATCATCATGATCAAGATCTCTTTGAAGGTCACTATCCTGAGCATCATACACCTCTACAACTATCTTCTTCGCATTAGATGGCATTAATCTATTGAGTTTAGAGCAAAGTTAATTACATGTCAATATCTAGGTTTATAACTGGATTAGATCCTTTGTTATGGGCTCTAGTTTTGAAAGCGAAGTGCTCATCAACGTAAATATACAGTTTGATACAAGGCTCTCCTTCCAGTGATAATGCTTGATTTAATGTCGTGACTAGAGTACTCTCTGTAGCTTCTGGGGTAATATAATGGAAAGCCTCTCCTCTTCTGTAATATTGAGATTCAACAAGAGTCAGTGTTTCAGTTAATTTTTCTTTGTTATTTCTCAGCTCAAGATACTAGCTGTTATATTGCAATAGCAAACTGGCATACTAAGATGTGAACTCTTTACTATATAATAGTTTAAGTAAGTATTAATTTATTCTAGAGAAAATATATTCTCCGAAATTAAGATATTGCTTGGTTAGATATTTGTCTAATTTGCAATAAATAGGATTGGAATGCTTGCAAATGATTGGTTTTTCTTTTATTGACTTACATTGTAAATTCAGCTGCTGCATTTTCAGTCAGTTTATCTCTAATCTAATTCTACTGTTCATAATCAAAAAATAGTTTCTCGAACGCCACCTCATTATCCTTTATATATAAGCTTTAATTGAATTACAATGCCATATTCAGCGCTGATCGTATTGATGCTCTCAAGAATATTATGCATCAGCTAATGGTATTACTCTTTGTTTTCATCTATATAACTATTGTAGGTAGGAGTGACTCTGGAATTCCCCATATTAGGAGAGAAAGACACAATGCTCTATAACAATTTAGAATGGAGTTTATGGGAAATTGTTGAAATATTACTGCTTTGATTGGATAAGCATCGCCTTAAGACATTTTTAATATGATATTGAAATTTAATTTAAAATTAAGTGTGTTAATTATTGTGATAATTTTTAAGCAATTAAAGTATTATAATTCACAGTCTATTGTTACATATTGAGGAAGTAACATGCTCTCCGAAAGCTAGTTCTCAAAGAAACATATCTTTTCCGTTATCTCACCCTTGAGTCTTGAAGTGGCACTTTTGTATCTGAAAATCAGAGTGAATCTTTTCAATTTAAAAACTAGAAAAAGGGATTAACAGTCTGAATTTATTTATATGTGTATATATAGGGGTATCGGAGTAAATGTGTGTTTGTTTATTTATCAGAAGGAGTGGAGTTAATGTTGTCAACATAATTGGTTCTGTTGAAACACGGATATATAACTTTGTTCATCACCATAAACCACACATTCACTCAACCACCCATTTATTAATCTATTTATTGCGAGGTCTTACCTTAGTTAGGGCTTGACTATTGTACTAAGAGGTGGCGATGAAAGCCTTGCTCTCCCTCTCTATTTTGTTTTATATTTAATATATTTATTATAAACTTGTGATTCTCATTCAATTTATACTTGAGGGGTTTTGGGGTTTTGGGGTTTTGGGG